GGGGTTTTTTGTGTGTTCTTTTTGTTTTAAACCTGGCTATTAAGGTATCATACGTAGATGGATTGTCTTTTAAGCTTTAAGGTGTGTTGTGAATTTAATTTTTTTTAACACAAACCCCTCTCGTGTAAAACAACTGTTCATAACTGGGATTAATGGTTTGCAATTTTCAGTTACTTAGACATGGGGTCTCCAAGAGCTGGCTTTTTGCAGAGTAGAATATGGCTCTCTGTGGGATTACAGAACTTTTCTTCTCTTCCTACTTCCTTTTCTGTCATCACCCCTCCCCACCGGCATCGATGCTGCGCTGATGTTCTCCTCGATTATGTAAAACACTTTCCCTTCATTGGAACAGATATTTTTTCTCATAACCTGTCATTGCATTAAAGTACTTTGGGGACTGTGAATTGCTGTGTAAAATTGGTGAGATTACCCACTGCTTTGTTCTAGTGTAGTGGTTTCCTCCAGACCTAAAGAGCAGAAAACTCTTACAAGAGAAGGCGACTCGCGGATGGCCTGGCAGCGTTTTCTCCGCTGCTTGTCCCGGCCCCTGTTCTTGCGGCAGGGGTTCACGGCGGGCTCTGTGGTGGGGCTGGCCTGGCGAGGAGCATCAGGCCCCAGGCACCTGCCCTCCCCTCGGGCTTAGCACTTCTCTGGTCTATGTTTCATCTTTCCCACTCACTTCTTGTCTCCCTTTCTGAAAAATGTTGTCTGTGATTTTAAAAATACACCCAATTAGGCAGAGGGCTCCCAAGAAGCAACTTCTTGTTTCTCTTATGGGTGGATCTTCAGTGAAGTCTAGAGACGAACACACTGTCTTTCTCTCCAACCCCTAATCGCCAACCCAGTAACCTGTGCAGCTCAGACACCCATTCCTCCCTCCAGAAAATGAAATCAGGTCATTCATATTTTCAGTGACTCAAAGTGCTGTGGGGGGGAGGGGAACAGTTACATCTCAGGGATCCTCCAAGGTGGTGAGGACAAACCCTTGAGGACTGGATCAGAATCACCTGAGGTTTTTGTTTGTTTTCTTTTCCATGAAAATACACCACATTTCTGGGCTTCCCGGGTGGCACCGTGGTAAAGAATACACCTGCCAATGCAGGAGACCTAAGAAACCCGGTTTCCATCCCTGGGTGGGGAAGATCCCCTGGAAAAGGACCTGGCAACCCACTCCAGTATTCTTGCCTGGGAAATTCCATGGACAGAGGAGCCTGGTGGGCTACAGTCCATGGGGTTGCAAAGAGTCGGACATGACTGAATACACACACACACACCCATTTCTCACCTTGAGAATCACTGACAGTGGTGAATGCCATGCCTAGGGATGGGGGCTGGGTCTGAGGAACCCTGTTCTCCCCTTCAACCAGCTTGGAAGAAAAAAGAGAAAGACTGACAATGAGTGACCTCAGTGGTATGCAGGTATCTCCGCACCGAGAGAACTTTCTGCTGTCACCATCTTTCATGCCAGATTTCCCATTTCGACGTTATTTATATTGCAGCTCCTTATTTTTGTTGAAGCTTGCATTTCACAAGCCCTACCCTTGTCCTTCTCTCCGATGATTTATATTCTTCTCTCTTAATATGCAAAGCATAAATCCTTTATAGTAGCAACTTCAATCTGTTGCAATAAGTGATTCATATGTAGTTGTTCATTTCTTTGCACCTCTGAAGAGACGTGTACAGCTTTGGTTTAGGATGAAAGCATCCAAGAAACAACTGTTGCCAACTATTGGGGCCAATTTGTGTTAGGTTTCTGTTTTGCAGTTTCTCAGTATATATGGATAGAAGAACACTGGAGAGATTGTAACATAGCTTCCTTCATTAACCTCTAAAATTCAATTGAATGTGCAATGTCTGTAGTAAGCACTCAGTTTTTTAACATTTTTTTAGTTAATTATTTGGCTGCATCGCGTCTTAGTTGTGGTATGCCGAATCACTAATTGCAACATGGGGGATCTAGTTCCCTGACCAGGGATCGAGCCCTGGACCCCCTGCATTGGGACTGCCACTGAACTGCCAGGGACATTGTGAAATCTCTTTAAATAATGTTATTAAATGTTTTTTTTTTTTACTTTGATTTTAAAAATCACACATCCTCCTGTCAAAGTTCTACCATTTAGATAGCTATTGTCACAGCTTCTTGTACTTATTTTCTTAATTTTTTAAATAAAAACTTTCTGTAAGATCAGTCTTGACTGTGAGATAGAAAAATGTATGAGAAAGTTTAGACAGATCGTTTTGAGTAATTGAATGTTTTTATTGTTTATAACCTCTTTGATCATGCTTATGTTGATATTTAAGGGGAGAGCAATGTTTTCTTAGTCTCATCAGTTTTTTTTTTTTTATCATCCTTTATGTCTACTTCTGGAGAAAAGTAATTTGCAGAACTATTTATTTAGAATCAATACAAAGGAAAAAAAGTAAAAGTGACGCCATGGATGGTAACCTGCCAGACTCCTCTGTCCATGGAATTCTGCCTGTGATACAGGAGAACCAGGTTTGATCCCCGGGTCAGGAAGATCCCCTGGAGAAGGGAATGGCTAGTGTTCTTGCCTGGAGAATTTGATGGAACGAGGAGCCTGGCAGGCTATAGTCCATGGGGTTGCAAAGAGTCACACATGACTGAGTGATTAACACTTCATTTTCACTTTTTTCCTTTGTATTGGTTCTAAATAAATACTTCTGCAAATTATTTTTCTCCAATAGGCAGACATAAAGTGTCATCAAAATACCGGTGAGACTAAGAAACATTACTATCCCCTTAAGTATCAATGTAATTATGATCAAAGGAGTTATAAACAATAAAAAAGTGCATTGTCTAAACTTTCTCATACATTTTACTATCTCAGAGTCAAGCCCAATCTTACAGAAATTTTTTTTATTATCCTTTATGTCTACCTATTGAAGAAAGATAATTTGCACAAATATTTATTTAGAATCAATGCAAAGGAAAAAAAAGAGTTGGCATAAAACTGGTCTGCTCCTGTATGGACTTTTAGGCTAATATTGTTAAAGAAGAATTCCAGCTCATCTTTCACTAAATTAATAAAAATGGTATGTTTTAAATAAAGGTGAGTGAAATAAAGTCCTCATTATTTGTTGTCCATTTTCTTATAAAATGGACTTAGTTTGAAATAGGGAACAGAAGACCTGGGTCATCTTCACAAGACCCCTGTCTCCCTCACTGGTGCTGTCAGCCCCAGCTGAGCAACTCAAAGCAGCCAAGCCTCCGGCTTTTCACCCTCTACTCACTGGGCAGGCATTTGGCTAGTTTCCTGGGGAAATGAAAAGATGACAAAGATCTCGAAGACAAAGCCCTCTACTGAAAATTTTCCATAGCTCCTCCTTACCTACAAGACCAAGTCTGAACTTCATAGCCAGGTACAGAAGGCTCTTCAGAATCTGGCCCCAAACTTCTCTCTACCTTCATTTCTCATCCACACTCTTGGTTCTGGACACTTGAGAAGATTCCAGCCAATCTGAATGAGCTGCAGGTCCACAAACCTACTTTGTGTATTCTTGCTTTGTTGCCTTTACCCATGAGGGTCTTTGGCCTGAAGCACCTGCCCTGCATCCCAAATGCCTCTTCGTGTTTCCAGCCTCAACTAAAATGTCCTAAGCCAGTTCCACTGCAAAGCCTTCCCCAAAGGCCAGGCCAGGTTAGGTGTGTGTGATATTCCTGTGGTCATTTCTAATATATTCCCACCAGGTGGCTTTTTCATTAGGTGCCCATGTGACTTTCTTGAGTCCGTGAGCACTCTGAAGATGTGAAGGCTCGGACCATCCTTCTACTTCCAGTGGCCCTTGCCTAGCTGGTCATTCATTTGGCTGGACCCTCTTTGCCAAGCACTGCAATGCTGCGGGCTGTGGCTGGTGGTAATGCAAGTGTTCAAGAGCTGTTTATGAAGGAATGAATAAGTGGATGAAGACCAGAATTACGGACACAGGGAGAGAGCCAGAACTGCAGATAACCAGAAGACAAGACCTCAGCTGCATATGATATAAGCAGTATTAAGGACAATGGGAAATCAGAGACAGGGAAAGCGGTCTTAGATGGAATGAGCATGGAAGTGGTCATACTTAGGGACAGACCTCAAGATTCTGATCAGAAGGAATGGGGAGAGGGGGTCAACAGCGAGAGGTGGAAAAACACGGCTCAGGGAAGGCGCAGTGGGGTCATCTCCAGATGTTTGCTCCAAATGAATGTCCTGTGGGTCTGTGAGCATCCCCCATGCAGGCTACAGGCCCAGGTCTGGAGCCCACCCACCACCCAGTGTTCACCCCTGGGCCCGCTTGTGGCTATAAGTTGCCCGAAAACCCAGTTCCCACTCACAATTTGGAACCGGATGTTAGCTCAGAAAGGGGACATGCTGTGTGGATGGAGGGCACACCACCAAATTACCACAAAGACTTCACCTACTGGGGACTGGAGGGGGGCTGGTTTCAGGCTGCTGTGATCTGCTTCTGCACCAGGTGGGGACCCAACCCTGAGCCCACCCCCAGGAGAAGAGCTAGAGATGCTTCCTGCCCTGTTGGTCAGGTGTCGGCCAGGCAGCTCTTTTCCATAAAATCTGTATTTAGGGATGGATAGGGCCTCTGTTGTTAAGATGTTCACCTTCTAAGCATGGGTAGAACAAAAGCATCTAATCAATGGAAATAATGCACAGATAAATCTGTTAAAATAGTGCTACCCTGGTGTTTGAAAAGAGGCGTATGCTGATAAGAAGAGATGGTGGAAAGTGAGGGGGCTCTTTTGGGGAGTGAAGCAGAGTCAGAGAAAGGGAAGACCCCTGGCCCCACCCCACCCCTCCTCCTGGCTCTCACTGGGGGTGGGGAGAAGCCAGTCCCCACCCCAACCCCGAGCCCCCATTCTTCCAGACTCAGAAACAGTTTTCAGGTCATTGTAAATCAACCAGCATTTACAGTTACTTGGTTTGATGAAAATATGATCACTTAAGTTTTTTTCTCTCCCTCCACCCCCGTTTTCTTTCTCATTACAGAATCATACGATGACCCAACACAGCAGTTAGTGCAAGCACCGTCTCTCAAGGAGAATGACTTTTGTGGCACAAAAAGGGAACATGTTTTACTCTTTGCACGAAACTTTCATTGTTAATGTATATTATTCAGAAACATTGTATTGTACCATAAAACTTGTATTATCAAAACTGTTGGATGTTCATGTGTTTGAACTTTTGAGCACCGGATAGACCCCCTGTATATAAAGTGTCTCACATGTATTATGTCGTCTGATACTAAAATGGTCTTATAAAGACAAGTGGACTTGGGCCCTATTCAGGCAAGATTAAAAAAAAAAAAGAATGTGAGCAAAATGGCTTAAGAGAAAGTATTTTCAAGGAAGACAGATTAAAACAACCCGGTTACACATGAGACTATATTTGGACTTCCTTTTCTTAACACTTAAGCCTAGAATTTCTCTTTTTTGGTATATCAACGGTTAAACCCAAGACTATTTTTTATTGCTGAAGATTCTTGCAAAAAACCATGAAGAGATGTTCTCACAGAACCCCACAGCTGGGTAAGGCCCGTATATATATTTGTAAGCCTTGCAATGTGACAGGTAGCATCACTATATATGCAATAGTTGTTATGTAGACTGTCAAAGAATTTTTTTTTTTCCTGGATACATTTGAAGCTTTGAGTGTTCAAGGTTTTCCTTAATGATTTCACACAGCCAAATTCTTGAATCAGTTGAACTAACCTGTATGTTACTGTTATTAATGTTTACTCTGCGGTCTGAACCTGGAGATTACTGGAATTGTTTTCCAAGAGGAAATAAATTCAGTTTACCATTAGGTATGAGTGTATGTGTGTGTTTTCTTTTTCTAGTTACTTGACCATTAAAAAAAAAAAATCTAATTGCACCCCTGGAAATGAGTTCTGCTCTTGAGAATATCCCAGGCACAACCTCAATCATATTTAACCTTTCCACACTAGGCCAAAAGCACCTAGGAGGAGATTCATCATATGGCATAGAGAAGGCATCAGACCTAAAGTACTTATTCCTCTCACAGATCCTACCAGGTCACATTGTACTGGAGGATTTTGACATCACAGATGGATGTGATGGCTGTTTTCTGCATAATTTGCAGCCCAATTCATGTCATGCTGTGCAAATCTGAACTCAAAGTAGATGGCTGCAATTTGAGAGGCAGTTTGGCTTATGTGTACTTAAGAAGCAGCTTTGTTCATTCAGAAGACAAAGAACAGAGCAGGGAGCCGGGAGCCTGTAAGCCTCGCGCTGGCCTGGAGTGCGGACTCTTGGTGTGGTTCTTCTGCACGCCACCCACCTCCAGGCCTCGGTCCCCGAGCCCAGGAAGGTGACGTGGACTGGTCGTCAGCCTCCATACAGGCACGGGGAGTCTCCGCAAGACTGCTGACACCACGCCACAGCTTGCCACAAAGTGGTGAATGAGGAGGTGCTCTCGAATTTCAGAGGTTTTTTTGAGTGGAGACAGAAGAGAATCACCGTGTATATACATTGAGCCCTGATATATCTTGACTCAAAATTGGTGAGTATAGACTTGATATTAGTGGACAGCTTTCATCCACCTCCTGCTTCAAATACTTCACCCACTGGGACTCTTTCACCCTCCTTGAAACTCTGACGACCTCAAGCAATTCTTTAAACCTTAAACAAGCGAGAATCTTCATAACAGTTTTTTTGATGGGGAAACTAATGCATGGACTTACTCGTTTTATCATGACCAACTGTCACGAGAGGAACCATGAATAAAACCCAGATACCAGGTATAAGCGTCACTCCATAATCTGTGTCAAAACTTAACCTCCATCAGGATCACCTGGAGGGCTTGTTACTTCACAGGGTGCCGACTGGATGCCCAGAATTGCTGAGTCAGTAGACCTGGAGTGGAGTTCAAGAGCTGACAGTTTTAGGATGTACCCAGCTGGGAGCTCCTGTTCCTAATGTAGGGGCCACACTTTGAAAACCGCTGCTCTACCCCATTTCCAAATGAGTTGAGTGCATTGAATGAGAATAACCATTCAGAGTGCCAGCAAATTATGCTACTTATTTTGTTTCCAATAAAAAGACAGTTTGGTCAAATTTTAGGATCACTTAGAAATAAGTACCTCCTGGTGATTAATGTACATGTGCTTGCCAGAAGGTATCATGCGCATGTGTTTAGTTTTTTAATGCTAGGAAAATCTACATCTATACATTTCACAATGGATTGCCAGCATGCTATTTAATTAAAAAGCTTTTTCACCAGCTACATAAATAATGAAGTATGCTGAGAATATGCAAGTGCATTCATAATTAAAATACTCCACTATATTTAAAAAAATTAAGATCTCTGGTCTATTCAAGGATTTTGCATTTAAAATGAAATAGCCACACTTAATGCTGATTTTTTTAAAAGCTTTAAAACCTTGGGTTATTAATGAGTGGATTATATTTTACTAAAGGGAAGCTGCTCTTCATTCATGGAAATTAAAGCAGGTGATGGTATTTATCCAGGGATGAAGCCCAAGTTGCCTTTAACAACATCACCTCTGAGACTTTCCAAGCTCCTGGTAAACAGCAGGAGTTGGACTTCTTAAGATGCAATGGAGATGAGGCTTATCATTCTAGAGGCCATCACACGGCTGGCCATTGAGTTCCTTCAACACAAGCACGGTTCAGTCACTTCCCAGACAAAGCCAGAGGCCGAAGAAATTGACTCATTACCCCATAGGCCTGACTGATCCTCCAGTGACAAGGTCGTTCAAATTCAGCAGGCTCTTCTTTATAACCAACCATTCTTTGGGTCATAAATACTGAACAGTGCGTGGAACAGTCATTCCCTCCTGCTTGTTACCTTGTTTTATGTTTATTTCCTGCTTCATGCCCTAAGAATATAAGGCAATTTAAAGATTAACACAACGTTAATAGGAAAAGCATCATCTTGGGACTTCCCTAGTGGTCCAGTAGATAAGAATCTGCCTGCCAATGCAGGGGAACATGGGTTTAATCCCTGGTTCAGGAAGATCCCACATGCCGCAAAGCAACTAAGTCCATGCATCCCAACTACTGAGCTCATGTTGTGCAACAAGAGAAGCCACTGCAATGAGAATCCCAAGCTCCGCCAAGAAGAGTAACCCCTACTTGCCATAACTAGAGAAAGCCCACACACAGCAACAGATGCAGCAGAGCCATAAATAAATACATCATTTTTAAAAACAGCATCTTACAGAACAGTGAAAACACAGTAGAGTGATTGGCTCGTTTTCTGCTTTAATTTTGCTTTGAATGCATTCTTAACATTGGCTTTGAGGTTCCCAATAGCAAAGGGAAAAACAAAAGAAAGGATTATACCGGTTCTTTATGAGAGTTTTTTTCCCCTAACACTTAATTCCCAAAGAAATTTCTCAATGGCCTTCTATGCAGTCGGTTTGCCAACACAATGACCAGTGTTTCTGACCCTAATTTTATGACCTCATCAGTGGCTGTCATCTGGAGGAATGTGGCTTCATCTATAGGCAGAGGCCAGAGATGCTGCTAAATAGCCTGCAATCCACAGGACGAGTCCCCAGAACAAGGAAGTAATAGCTGCCAAAGATCAACAGTGCCAACGCTGAGAAACGGGTCTAATGTAGTGTTCTGATTGTTCAAGGAACTTTTTACATTAGCATCATCTAGACAACTTTTTAAAACTCTATTACCTGCAAGATTCATATATCTGAATAACATACTATGGAAAACCCCAAAGAACTTTTTAGCCTGCCCTATATATATATATATATATGTATATACATACACTCTACTGTCTGAACCACCAGGGAAGCTATACATATATACATATATATATTTATTTATATGCCATGTATATAAACATATATGTGTGTGATATATATATATCACACACATGTATATATGTGGCATATATATACACGTGTATATATGTGGCATATATACATATATGTGATATATATATACACATATGTAATATATTATACACACACACACACACACACACCACACTGTGTGGCTTGTGGAATCTTAGTTCCCTGACCAGGGATTCAACCCCCTGAGCCCCAGCAGTGAACGTACCAAGTCCTAACCACTGGACCAACAGGGACTTCCCCTAAAAAACTCTATTCCTGAATCCCACCCCTAGAGAAGCAGACTTACTTGGTCTAGAGTGCAAACGTGCCCCAGGTGACCCTAGTGTAGCCGTGTTTGAGACCCACTGGGCCAGGCTAACATTCTCTTATACTTACTCTCTAACATACTTATACTTAAGTATACTGGGCTCAAGACTAGAAATATGCAAATAGCATCCTAGGAGCAGAGACATATGGTCCTCACACACTTTTTCTTCAATGTTACTTTCTATAACTGGGCATGTAATGATTATTTTAAGTAGACTAACCTGTAGCAAGTTTCAGAACAAGGGGAAAGGGGGGAAATGACCCAGAAGCCCACCACCCTTACACCTGGGTCCAGGATAACAAATTAATGAGTGAGAAACCTGGCCCAGGGGGGTACTCTGGCCACCCAGAGAGCAAGCCCCCCATCACCTGCCCCCGCTGCTGCCTGGAGGAAAGGCAGCCTGCCGAGGCCAGATTGCCCAGTGTCTTAGGAGAAGCCAGCGATCCGGGTGGTTATGTGCCATGTGCCAATTTCTAAATGTTGGCAGCCTACTCCGATTGTTATTCAAACTCCACTGACCCCCGCTGTGCAGGCCATATGAGATAGACTTTCAGGCCAGGTCCCGCTCTTGGATTGCCAGTTTTGACCTTCAGCATCAAGTATTATTTTTTTCCCAATTATTTTCATGCCAGACTATTTAAAGTGTTCATTTAAAATAATTACACAATTTGTGTATGTACGTGTCATATGCCATTTTTATATTGCTTTGTGGCCTTCATAATTCTATTGCTTCAGGTGGAGCAGTAAGCCGCCAAATGGATGTGTTCTATATAAGCCCGCCCTTGTTCCCAGATACCTCAATTTCAGATGGATTTTGTTTGTTTGTTTATTGAATGATGAAGGATTAAAAATAGTATAAAGTCAATAGTTTCTTCTGAAAGCCAGATATGCTATATTTTCTGTTGCTAATGGAGGCCAGGTTAGCTGCTTTGGAAATCATGCAAACAGGTGATAAGGTTGACATTCTACTTTGGAATTTGATAGGATCCCCTGGTGGCGCTAGTGGTAAAGAAGCCGCCTCCACATGCAGGAGACATAGAAGACGTGGGTTCAACCCCTGGGTGGGGAAGATCCCCTGGAGGAGAGCATGGCAACCCACTCCAGTATTCTTGCCTGGAGAATCCCATGGACAGAGGAGCCTGGCGGGTTACAGTCCATAGGCTCACAAAGAGTCGGACACAACTAAAGCAATTTAGCATGCACACGTACAAGCTTAACCAGTGTTCCAGCCCAAATGAAAGCTCAAGGTGGCCTCTAGGGGTTCCCCACAGGCTGGGGTAGGCTCCTCAGAGCAGCCTGGGTCTGTTTCAGAACTTGGATAAGGATTCCGATGAATCCTCGAGTTCCACTCTATAGAGCATGGCAGCCCTGCTTTGTGCCCGTTGGGGTGCAACACTGCACAACCCTTGAGAAAGGAAGTTTGTAATTCCAGATCCCACTAGAGAACACCTGCAAATGCTTCTCCTCCCAGCTTTAGCGCACCGGAGCCTCTTACCATCTCCCTTGTGCGGAGGGAGCACTACAAAGGTACTGTAAATGCCTGGAGTTCAAGCAAGAGGAATGATTTAGGGTAAAAGGACCCAGTATGGGTTTCTGGCAGAATCCCAAAGCTCAAGGCTGGTTGGCACCACATTCCCGGGTGA